GATTCTTGCTATGCAGTTCAGGCTGGCCTTGAGCTCACTTTGTAGCCCAGGCTGGTCTCAAACTCGCAACCACCCTCCTGCCTCAGCCTCCCAAGTGCTGGGATTACAGGTGTGCACCACCACGCCCGGCCTCAGTGGATTTTCATAAGTGTTTATTTCTTGCTTAGGGGTTTTCAGGTGGGCTGAGGCACCATAGAGCTCAGCTTGCCTCTCAAGTGCAGGGTGGGTTCAGGTCTGCTCCCCACGCCCCTTCACATGAAGATGCAACTATTTGTCAAGACTAAGCCACATCATGCAAACATTTAAAATTTCTAGTTGGAATAAATATATATCTTAAATATTTATAGGATTTTGTCCACCATACCCAAAATAATTTTAATAGTAATAATGATAAAAGATACACACTTTGTAGATCTCCCAGCCAGCCACTATCTGCCCTGGGAATTCTGCAATACTACTTTTCTATATCTCATATACACGATCTATGTAAGCTGCATGTATATTTTGTGGGCATCTATATAGATATTTTTAAAGGCCTCTCAGGAGGCAAAAGTGGGTGGCTCTATAAACCCAGCACTTGGGAGCCTGAGGCAGGAGGATCACTGTGAGTTCAAGACCAACCTGGGCTACATAGTGAGCCTGAACTATACAGTGAGGCCCTGTCTCAGAGAGGGTGAGAGTGAGAGAGACAGAGAGACAGAGAGACAGAGAGAGGCAAAAGAGGGCAAAGAACTTTTAAGGTGAAAGAAATGCCAAAGCATTTAATATTAGATTGTAACTCTCTTCCATGATGATATTTCCTCAGGAGAGCCAAGCACAGAGAGAGAGAGAGAGAGAGACAGAGAGACAGAGAGACAGAGAGACAGAGAGCAGGAGCTGGAGGGGGTCTTTCACAGAACAATCCATCATCAGCAGGTGCACTGAACCCCTAGGTGCCAGGACACAACAGAAAAACTGAACTCCAAATTCACTGAAGGAAAGGCTGAAGTCGCAGGGAGACTTCCAGCCCCCATGTAGCCAGGCTCAGCATTCAAAGAGGGCCTAAAGGTGGGGCGTCTGCAAAAGCTTCTAGCTGCGGTGATTGTCAAAATGTTCCATAACCTGGATGACGCAGGCCCTGCCCAATCAGAGCCACCGCCCGGAGCACACTGTAACCTGTGTACGAGTGACCTTGGTCCCTGGTGCGTCTGGGGAAGCGGGAGAGCTGGAGGCTGGGCACCCACAGGAAGGGGCGGAGCTGCACAGCGAGGGCGACGGCGCTTCCCCGCACGCAGGGACTAAGACCTTCAACCTGAGACCCCGGGGGTCCTGCAGGGCATGAGCTAGATTTGTCTTTCTGCCGGAGGCAATCACCAATTATATGCGCTGTGAGGCAAGCTGGCCTCCCGCCAGAGGAGGAGGTGAAGAGATTTACAGAATCTCGCTCTGATCTAACTTATTAGACAGTTAAAGATACCCAGGCTGGAGATGGTACAGTGCAGAAATAAAGAAGTCAGGATTCCAGTCCACACTGGGTGGGAGGACTTAGACCGGAGTTTTTTCACCTCTCTCAGGTCGGTTCCCCCCTGTGAGAAAGGGGAGTCATAGCAATACCCGCCTGGCAGGGTCTTGATAACCACGAAATGATCTAATTTACAGTTCCAGCCCTCTGCACAGTCGGACACAGTCTGCCCTCCATCGTGGAAGACACTATGATTATTTCAGGTGGGAGGGCCGACCAGGAAGCAGATCAGAAAGCAATGTTCAAAAGGTTTGGGGTGTAGTTCAGTGGTAGAGTTTCCCTAGCACATGCAAGGGTCTGCGTTCAAGTCACAGTGCCAAAAAAAAAAGAGAGAAACCACTGATTAAAGAAGATGAGACCCGAATGCCACGAAGTTAGCAGACCCAAAGCTATTAAAACTGGGAACACAAGTGAGCACTTCCCAGCCTTTCTGGTGAGTGTCAGCACCGACGTGTCCTCACTCAGCACCCTTCCCCCCGAGCTGGTCCAGCCCCATGACGATAGCGGCTGCTGACGCCTGCAACAAGAGAAATAGTCTGTCCCTAGGAAGCTACGTTAGCAGCCATTTCCCCACCAGGATGAAAGAAAAGCAAACCAGACCCTGAAACCAACTGGCCCCCACCATCCACACGGCCATTTTAGTTTTGTCACAGGTGACATCTGCAAGCCCACCAGCCCCTCCAGCACCTGCTTTGCAAAATCCACCTGCCTCTTCTGCAACACCACAGACTTGGGGGAACTCACGCAAGCTTTCCTTCTTGTTTCCAGCTGAGGAGTTAACTGTGGATGTGTAGCCAGGAGAACCAGGCATGCCCAACCTACCACCTGAGGAAGATCATGACAGGCGGCTTTGCTTGCTGCCTTCGAGAAGGTGTCGCTCCTGGGAGCTGATGGACACGCTTGCTATTTTCCTTTTCTGAGGTCGGACTTCCTGAGCCTCGGGCAATCTGGCAATTTCCAGAAGTAACTTCAGGATCAGGATCAAAAGGATCAGGCCAGGGGCCGTGTAGTCGGGTTATACCAGAATCACACCAGTATCTTATCCAACATATTTTTATTTTTTTTTATTTCAAACATTCCTCAAAGCCCAGAGTAATTTTTTTTTTTTGGCGCCAGGAATCAAACTCATGACCTCTGGCTAGGCAGGCGCTTATGTCGCTGAGCTACATCCCTGGCGCCCAGAGTAATTTAAAAGCAGAAGAGCTACCACCTCCACCAAAAAAAAGAGATGCTTTTGAAAGTTTAACTGATAACTTCACAGTCATTCAGCCAGCTGATTCCCAAGGAAATAAAAAGCATCTGGAAATGTATTTAATAATTGATTTAGTGTTGAGCCATGTTAAATGTTTTAATTTCTAAGCAAGGCAGTGCCCACCAAAACATCAATTAGTCCCAGCAATCAGGCAAGAATATTGGCTTCTGTTGAGGGATTCATTTATTTTAGCTCTGCTAAGTATCGAAGAAGGAGAAATCCAATGCAGCCTACAGCTCCAAGGAAGTGAAATCCAGCCAGAGTGAAAACCAGATCCGGCACTGGCTAAAAGGATGTCTTTTCTGCGCCCCCCTCCAGCTCTCTGGAGGGAGCAAGGGAGGCTGGTGACTTGCAAGATCTTCCTGCTGTTGACAGAAAGCACCTTTCCCTCCCCACAGCTTTTGCAACTCCAAGCCAAAAACAAAGGAGACTAACACAGGACAGAAAAGGGCCCCCTGCTGGGGAGACAGGCTGACTTAAGAACTTGCAAGATCATTTTGAATCATTATTTTTCCTTTTGGTGCCCTCTAAATGTCAAGTTTCCAGGGTCTCTTTGCCCTGGTTGAGCTCTGAGTCCGAGGAAGGGTCTGCCACAGTCGGGAGCATCCTCTGTCTCTACACAGCTTGGCCAACCGCCCGGGACATCAAAGGCGGAACATTCGGGCCACTCACCACCAGGTCTGGGCCGTTAGAAGCAGCAGGGAGCAGCGAGCCCAAAGACCCCTGGAGACGGGCGCTCCTGGAAGCAAACACAAGAGGGAACATGAGGTCTCCGCAGCCCGCAGAGTTTGGGAACATGCTCCTGTTCTTGACCCTCCCTCTCTCTCTCCATCTCTCCATCTCTGTCTCCCCCTCCACCTCTCTCTGGGACCTCTCAGCTTTGCACCTCAATGTGTGCATCTCTTAAATGAAAATAATAGCTCCAACAGGGAACAGAAGGGGGAAGTCAAATGAAATAAGGTTGTATGAATCAGCATATATCGGACCTGTTTCAAATGCAAGTGGAACCAGTCATGGCGGCCAAAGACCTGTAATCCCAGCACTCTGGGAGACGGGGGCAGGAGGATGGCAAGCTCCAGCCCATCCTAGAGAACTTAGCAAGACCCTGTCTCAAAATTAAAAATATGAAAAGGGCTGGAGGTGTAGCTCCGTGCAAAGGTCCTGTGTTCACATCCCAGTACCACCACCACCATCGCTAAAAAAAGAAAGAAAATTGCAAACACCAGGGTGTCCCCTTGGAGCTTCTGACTCAGCAGGTTTGCAGTGAGGCCCAGAAATTTGCATCGCTCTCAGGTGATTATGATAATTAAACAAGTTCAGGAAACAAGAGATGAAGAGTCTGGCACGTTAGAAGGATTCACCCAGTGTCAGTTCTTGCTCAAGCCCAGTGGATGAATAAAAAAGGGCATCTAGGATCCTGCCTTCATCACTTGCTGACACTGCTGGTTCAACAGAAAACTGGTGCCCACATCTCTGCAGGGGATTTGACAACATCTATCAAACTTATAAATACAGGTACCCCCTGAGCCAGCAGCCCCACTTTGAAGAGTTTATCCTAGACACACTTGAACAGATGCAAATTATTCAAGGCCACTGACCGAAGCATAGTTTATAATAGGAAAAAAAATAGAAATGCCCTTTTATACAGATTTGGTTAGATGTCGTTATGGTGTAGCCACAAAACCAACATTTGCACAGTTCCTGTGGATGAGTATATCTCTGAGGCACATTTTTAGGTTAAAAAAAAAAAAAGGGCCTGCAGAACAAGGTGCATAATAAGCCTTTGTAAAAGTGCAGAGATTTGAGTTTGTGGTTTGTGCACAGAAGATCTCTGGACAAATACACAAAAAGCCGGTAACACTGGTTGCTCTGGAGAAGGGAACTGGGGGCCTGAGAGAGAAAGAACAGAGGGAAATTTCATCACATAAATTCTCAGACCTTATATGCCTTAATCACCTGCATTACCTATTGTGGGTATTATCCCAGCCATACAAACTACCACAACCTTCACAAGTAATTTCTAAAGGTATGCATATTATATTTCAGAGCAAAACTTATCAAAATCACACTGTATCAAAGGACATGGCTCCCGTTTGTGAAAACCACCTCCAGCCACCTACGGCTGCAGAAATCGGGAATGCCCAAATTCTCATCCCCGGTGGAAGGCGGGGAATGGAGCGGGGTGTTAGTTAACAGAGAAGGATGATCAGGTCAAGGCAAGAAGGACAGGTGGAGGTTTCAGGTAAGCACGATGTTCTCTTTCTTCTCTGGGAGCTTCTGTGGGCACATGCTGCGCCCCATACTTGGGGTGCAGTCCACCCGGCACAGGCCTCCTCCACACCTAGTACCCCGCCCGAGACATCACCGATCTCCAGCGGCTGTCGTGAGCTGGTCCCTCTCCCTCGAGCCCACCCAGGCGTGCTCCCTGGAGCCTGTGCTCCTCGGCCATGTGCCTCATGGCCACCTGGGTGTGTGTGTCTTCCCTTACCCCATGCTCCGCAGAGCTCAGTGAGGACAGGCTACGGCTGGCTGGATCCAAGCGGTCTCCCCAAAGGTGGTGCTCATCAGGGATAGGAGTCCCCAAGGAGTGAGAGAGTTATGAGGAAAGCAAGGCAGCAAAGCAGTATCCCCAAGTAGAGTGCCATTCCAGCGGGCAGAAAGAGGCTTGTTTTGCCCCCTAGCTTGCTGCCTTTGCTCTCTCCCACCACCATGAACTGCTGCCCTCTGCTGCCCCTCCG